AGAATGATTGTGTTAGTTAACTAGCTTAGTTGAGCACCTACTACGTGCTAGGTGCCACACTAAACGCTGGGGCTTGGAAGCTGTGTGTACTGTGGTTAAAACCCCTCCCCCCCAGGATTTGGAGTCTCCCCCCCTTTTCAACTCTGTGATTTGGGTCATATTACTACCTCTTGCTGCCTCAGTTTCATCAGTGTAAATGGGACCGATAATGCTGACACTTTATAGTATTCTCATTGTGACAGTCAAATGAGAAAATTTGTTAAAGTGGCTTATGATGAGTGTCAAATGCCTTTGTTGCTATCTCTCCCAAAGTTTAATGATCTCTTGGCAAAGATAGGGAAATTGTGATGTAACATCTGAAGCAGGGGTGTGGTGGAACCAGCTGGAGCTGATGATTCCATTTTCAGTGTGAGCGTTTTCACCTCAAAAACTGGGGCTTCATTTGTTGTTTTGTTGATTGTCAAGACTTAAGAAAGTGATGGAGAAAATGTTGATTAAGGCGGATTAAGTTTTGTGCCTCCCTCCAAGCTAGTTGTCAAACATTTACCAGCACACCCCTCGTTTCAGCTAAACAGTGTCAGAAGGGCTGTTTGGGGTCATCAGTGGACCAAGATGCCTAGGCTAGTGTGAGGTAATACCCAGGTATAAAACTAGTATAATGAAGGTGTTTGTTGAATTCCTAAACGACAAATTTTGATTTTTTTCCTCCCGGTAAACGAGAGGAAGCCAGGCCCTAGCAGACAAAGACTTGGATTCCTAGTCAGGAAGAACAGGGTTGTGTGATCCTGGACGCTGGGACCCAGATCCCTTTCCCTCCCAGCCCCCCAGGCAGGTCCAAGCTGCAGACCAGGGGTCCAGCCACAGTGGCAGAAGTTACCTCATGAGCCTTTTCTAAGCAGAGGGAGGAAGGCCTCTCTTCCAGTGCCAATCAGCACCTTCTCCTCAGTTAGTTGGAGAACCCTGGGCAGTTGTACGATTTACCCAGGGCCGCAGTGCGTCTCAGAGGCAAGACTTGTTGGGCCAGCATCTTGTCACTTCTGTTCTGCCTTTTCATCAGGAGTTTCCTGTGCCAAGAAAACCACATCAGAGTATTTAAACGTTCTTAACAATCTGTTCAGTCCCAAAGCAGCTCCTAACGACCCTGGACAAATCTAAGCCCGACAGCATTTCCTGTTTCCCAGCACTCTTGGTGGAGATTAAGAGAGAGGGGGTACGGGGAGCGAACTCCAGCCCTTGATTGGGCCATTTTCAGATGGAAATGTATGTCATGTTGAAGAGTGAAAAGGATGTGAATCTGAGCATGTGATTAATATGTGTCTTGTTAAATTTTTAAAGAATCAGGCATTTAAAATACATTCGCTCCAAAAAGAGGGTGATAAAGAGTAGAAAGCAAAATCACTCGAGCAGATGAGCAAGTGGGATATCTTCAGCATTGGAATCCGTTAATTTTTTTTTCCATTGGCTGAAAATATTCTCAAGTTCTTATAGCTCCGTACAATGTTTACTCCATGGCATAAAGTGAGTGTGTAGATCCATCTTTCAGTGCCGCTGTGAAATATATTAAATACAAAATGGAGTATTGTGGTTGTGGGGGAAAGCTCTTAGTCTTTTAGGTTTGGTGGGAACCTCATCCCCATTATCACAGTGGCGGTTTCTACCTTCAGACTGTCTCTGTTTCTCCTGTGCCCCTGGGCCATTTTGTTCTCTGTTTCTAAGTTTCCTGATTTTCAAGAAACTTTCTGATCATCAGAAATAGTGATGCCTCAAAACAGCGGAGAAAGTTAATAATGATAATGAAGATGATGATAAGGGTGGTGGTAGTAGTAGTGGTGGTGGTGGTGGTAGTAGTAGTAGCAACAGCAGCAGCTGTAGTGGAAGATACTTACAAAGCCCCCTAAAGTTCACAAGAAAGACCTTGCAAACCTTAAAGCACTTTTGTAAATGTCAGCTGCTATTGTTATCAACTCTGTCCATTTATCCTTGTTTGATGTCCTAAGTTTTCCTAAAAATCAGTTGTTATGCTATCCAAGTTGCTGAGCACTGTGCAGTAGCTATAGAAATGCCTGAGTTCTCTCTGTGAACAATGAAGATTAACTAAGCAGAGACATAGACAATGAGCAATTTTTGAAATACTTGAAATATATGTGAATTACATTAAAATAAGGCCAACAAATCTACTTGATTTATTATTTCCTATTATTTACACGTGCCTAACATTCATCCCCAGAAAAGTATAAAAACTGTTTTTTTTGCTGCACACCAAGACATTATTCTTGTTAAAACAACCAATTATATAATTAGCAGCAGGGCCATATTTTTGCTTCGTTTATTATAGTCTGCAGGTATAATGAGAATACATGTGTGTATATGTATACATGTGTATATATGTTCTTTCAGAGCATATGACTTACCTATAGATATCATATCTTTTGCATGAAAAGCAACATGGATTTGAGTCTTGGCTTCAGATTTTACTGGGATGACCCTGGGTGCAGTGATTGATTTCTTTAATTTCCTTATCTGGAAAATTAGGGCACTCCTGTCCATCCTCCCTACCTCACGGGACTGTGATGAGGAAAGTGCTTAGTAAATCAAAGAGCACCATATAAATATGAGTTCTTATGTAATATCTTGAACATAACAGATATTCAGTTTATTGAATGAGTGAATTAACATAACTTTAGTCATATCATCATTTGTACACATCTGCTTTCTTTTATATGATAACATAATTCTATATATATATAACTTATATATAATCAATGTAATCATGTGATATTGCTTAATGGTTGCCATTATATAAATGCCTTTGCCACGATTAGCTTTGTGGAGGCTGTGTGGATAGAGAGCAGAGCTTCAGATAATCCCGAATTTAGAACTGGAAACAGCCTTGAAGTCCAAACCCTTCATTTTACAGATGAATAAACTGAGGGCCAGAGAGGCGAAGTAATTTGCCCAAAGTCACACAAATAATAAGCGGCAGGATAAGAGTGTGAATGTAGGCACTAGTAGATATTTAATAAACGCTTGTTGTCTGACTGACTGATAGTCCTCTGACTTGAAATCTCATTCTCTCTCCCCTGTGCTGTGTTATATTTTCTCTCTGACCAGGGTATCCCTGATCACTTTGGTGAGTTCCTTAATCTTCTTGATGACATTATATGGCACGGACATTTTTAGGGGCAGCTTAAGGTTCCCCGTCCCATGAAGGTGAGCATGCTTCTGCCGGCACCTCACTGACCGAGTTTCAGAGTCTGGGGCCTCCTCCAAGATGATGGGTTGAATGAGGCTTAGGAGGATGGACTTTTGTCAAAGGAACCAACCACCCCTCTCTTTGGTCTCAGTGGATCAGCTCTCACTCTTTCAGTCTTGGACATTGGAATGCAGATTGGAGAGGAGCAGAGTGGGCCCATGGGTGTTGCAGGGTGGGCAGAGGGGGTAGATAGGCCTAGGTCCACATGAAATTTCCTTTTCTTCAAAGCACTTGATGGTGATTGTGGCAGAAGCAAGTGGCAAAGCCTGGTGTGTGTGACCATTTCTCTGTTTGTAGAGAGTGTTGAGAACCCGCCTATCTCCTAGATAGGATGGCCCAGATGGCGGAATCCTGGCATCTGGGTTTCAAGCCAGAGAAGGGGCATGAGGAGCAGAAGTTTTGGGAGTTCTCTCACAGCGAAGCCCAAGTGAGGGCGTCTCCGAGGATCCATCCTCCATCTTTTAACAAAAGGAGGTTTCCTAGAGAGCCTCTTGTCACAAGATGTAAAATATACTATTGAATGGCGTATTTGTCGCACGTTCCCAGAGTCTAGAAGATGCAAAGGGTGCTGATTGATCATCAGAGGACCGACGCTGGCACCCCATCTCTGCTGCCTCCCTCACGAGTGACCTTGGGCGCTCTCTCAGTCTTGACTGGATGATTTCCAAGGTCCTGTCTTCCAGCCTGAGGTCCTGGGAAAGGGCCTGATAAGTGACACCTGTGGGTGTCCTCCCTATAACCAGAATGCAAAAAATAAAGTCCAAATATTTCACGTTATTTTGTGCAGTTTTGACTACGGTGATATTCTATTGCATTTTAAAAAATCAAATTACCTTTCTGTTTAGTGACATTTCGTCCGTTTTGTGCCTGTTTCACTGTGCAATGTTGTGGAAAGAACACTGAACCAGGAATCCTAGGTCTGGGTCCCAGGTCCGAGTCTGCTTCTGACTCAGTGTGTGAGATTTGGAGTTGTCATTGATCTTTCGCAGCCTCAGTTTCTACATCTATATAATTTAATGAATGTAATAATGATGTGGTTTATTTATATAAAACTATGTGATTAGAATCAAAAGAGTAATTGTGTTAATTTTGAAAGGAAAAATGATCAGATGCTAGGAATTGATTTATTATTATTATTAATAATACTACACATGACTCTTATCTTTCCTAATAAAATGCAGATCATTTTCATTCAGTGTTAAAAACCACACACACATATAATTAACATGACCTTTTTGTTGTTATTGAAGAAGGTTTGAGATGATTCTAGAGCCCTTATCCCTGAGGCGGTATATTTTGTAGCAATATCCTAGTTAATTTCCTTGGTTTTAATATTTCCTATTGCTTTCCTATTACATACCTTGACTTAATTACTTTTATCATATGATGCAAATGATTGCTTTCATTTTAGATTTCTTGTATTTATGGGCAAACAATTACAGATGATATGAGAAACTAAAACTCAGCGGAAGTTAATTTACTGCTATGTTCTGAGTTACATTAGCAAGGAAAATTTTCTTCTTTTTTTTTTCAGTGAAATCAACCTGATTAATATGTATCCCATTAATTAGGGCTGAGGTAGGTGTGAAAGATAAGCAGATGGCACATTTTGACAAAGTGGGAAAAAAAACCAACCTGCTTTTTGTTGTGAACTACACTGATTATCAGTCCAAATGATAAGAGTTAAGGAACAGTGCTATCCTCACGAAAAAATTAATGGCACTTTTTTTTTTTTAATGAATTGTAGCTGACTTTGGCCTGGCAAAACAAAAGCAAGAAAACAGCAAACTCACATCGGTTGTTGGAACAATTCTCTACTCCTGGTAAGAAAGATGAAAAATGTGTAATTCTCAAATTCTGTGTTCGCTGGTTTGAGTTTTCATTTATTTTCTTAATTTAAAATAGAAGTTGTTCCAAAGGGATCTTTACTGTATCAGTCGTTCCCCCAGGAAGCACTGGAAAAATTTCCTCCACGTTCTAAAAATGCTGCTTGCCGATTTTCTTTCTTTTTTGGGGGGTGGTGGTGATGGTGGTGGGTGGGGAGCGTTGTACCATTTGTAGCACGATCAAATGTAGGGCATTGTTACCACAGCGTGTGTGTTCCACGGTGCTGATAGATACACAGTGGGATGGTAATTACATTGATCCAGAGAATTCAAATAGAGGTATAGACAGCTTTATCCAAATGTAGCATCCCTTTGTGAGGGACTTTTTTTAAAGACAGTTCTTAATTTGAAAGGCCCAGCCAGCCTCAGACTGCAAGATTTAGATGGGCAGCCTGTGGGGAAAGGAGAACAAAATGTCCTAACCTACTTAGTTGGTTCTTTCCGTCTTTTGTATAAACCAAACAGATTCTGATGGAGTCATTTCAAACCCAGTCTTTTAGCGTGACTCTCCATAGCCCACAAAACAAAGTCCAGATTCCTTGGTTTTATAATCAAGGCCCTCTCTGGCCTCCACCTCAACTTCGAGCTTTATCTCCCATTTCACAGACCATGGGCTCCAGCCATATTGGACCACCTTTCTTCTTGAGGACACTCTCTGGGCTTTCTCACTAACTACATTTTTTTCTTTAGGCTGATAATTCTGGATGGAATTCCTTTTTTTTTTTCATTTTTTAGTCGTTTCTTCAAGACTCAGAGACCAAGTGCCACTTTTTCCATGAAGCCTTCCTTGGTTTCCCCCAGCCAGAAGTAATCTCTCCTTCCCCTGTAAACTGAGGTCTTTTAATTTGTGCCCTTCCTAGGGCACTCAGCCCCTGCCACATTGAACCCCCTCTTCGGGCAGCCCTCACGGGCGTTCTAATTATCTTTGCCCACGGCTTGTTCTTTCTCGCATAGCTCTAGATTGTAAAGTATTTCACAGCTTTCAGCGTCATGGCGTTCGCCTTCCAGTATCTCACAGGAAATGATAGTTACTGACAGAATTATTTGTATTAGATGAGTTAGTCGTCAGAAGATGTGTAGACAAGCTTTAGAACCTTAAAAAAAACAAGTCCAGCCCCCAATCTTCCTGATGGGGGAAGTGGGTCCACGAAAGAACACCTTTTTTCTTTGTTTCTTTTAGTTTTCAGTCAGTTGAAGTGGGTGTCTGTGGCTGACATTTGTCTGGCTTTGTGGGACTTCTTGTCTGGGGCCTATCCAAGAGGCACGGGCCTAGCAGCTTTTTTGCTCCTTTAGGGGAACACTTCGGGGTCTCCACCAGCAACGTGGTGGCCATTTATCTTCTTGGTCCTTTCATGGATTTTCTATCTCCCTGGCCCGGGTAAGACTGTAAACCCTCCATGTCTTTCATCTTCTGTAATGGCTCCTTATCTCAGAAATCTCCTCCATAGCAGACACACCCATTTCATTGGAGGCCTTCCTCTGGTTCTTGTAATTATTAGTGGAGACTGATGTAGCAGTCGGCTCCCAGCCCACCTCCTGTCTGGCCCTGGGGGTCTTTAATGATCTCTTTGACGCCATTTCTTTGATGATGAGTCGAAGCCTTTTACCCAGCATGCATCTTTCCACTGTCCCCTACATTACCTGCAGGTTTGATTCTTTGGAGATCATGGTCCATGACGTGCAACGAGGTAGCCAAGCTGATAGAACGTGTGCATGCAGGCATGTATTTATCCATGTATTCATGTGTATGTGTACATGTATATTTATGTGTGTGTGTGTATATGTACACGTGCGCATGTATGCACTATATTGTATCCACACAGACACTATGTATATATTATCATGTGTGTATGTGTATTTATTATATATTCCTGTATGCATAAGAATATATGTGCATATGTGCTATGAATAAACACCATCATTATGTGTGTATATATTCCTATATATGTGTATATTTATATCCCTGTACATGTGTGTTTATTCCTATATATGTATATATAGTATCATATATGTGTATGTGTTTCCTGTGTATGTGTGTGTATACCCACATGCACACACAAAAGAGAGTATATATACACAGTGTGTGTTTGTGTGTGTGTGTGTGTATAATGGTAGTGTGTATATATAGTATATATTTACATATTCACATCTATATACATATATAAATAAATATATCTTTATCTATACACAGACATATACCCATATATTTGTAAACAGGGAGCAGTCTGGGATTACTGACAAGGATGTATAGTTTTCCATTCGGGGCTTGCTCACTGTCCTTCGGCATAAGGGAAAGTGATAGACATATAGTCAGAGACAGAGACACGGAGAGAAACAGTCAGAGACAGGGATCTTGATTAATTCCACAGGGCTGCCCACCTAGATGCATGTCATAATCTGGGCCATATTTGTTTTTTCATCCACTTTGTTTTCTCACTGTGGATGCTTAGGCCAGTCTCCTTCAAATGACTGGATTTCATTGAGGAGGCTTTGATATTTCAGGATTTAGTACAACTAATGGAGTGTGTTGTGTGAAAAGAAACATGTAGAGAACTTTATCATCAGTAAGGAATGCTTCTGTTTGGATTCCACACAGGGTGCTTCCCATGACACTTGTTTTCTCTCTTTTATGCTTCATTTAATTTTTTACTCAGAAGACTATTGAACAGTATTGTCTCAGAGGTCACATCTGTCATGAAATTGTGTGTGTTGGGCCATACAGCTGGTTGTACGCTTGTTTGAGGACAGCTTCTAAAGCAGTATTTGAATCTACTGAAGCAATTTTTGTGAACTCAGTAAACACCAGGCATGGCAGTCACGCCCTGTTGTGTGACTTTGAAGATGTCATCTGCCTTAGAAAATAGTATAGAAAAATTTGCCTCTGCCAGGCTCAGACTTTTATCTAACATTTCCCCGTTACCTGCATGGACCATTTTCATACATTTTTAATAAAGATGGGAAAATAGGCATATGGATTGGTAATTACTGTTATCTTTTCGGTTGCTGCTTTCAAAAGCTATTCATGATCTTTTCCATTCTTTTGGATTCTTCCTCTCTTTGAAGATAGCTTCAAAGTTGATCCTAGAATGCCTTCAAAATGTTGTCCCTTCTCTCCTGAATTTATTCAATATTTTATTCATTGTCCAGTCTAGTCATCCTTCCCAGTACTTCATTGTTACTGTCACTCTGTCACAAAGTACATTGCATCAGAGAATAGGATATTGTGACTTCATTATTACCACTTAGAAGAAAAAAAATGTGCAAGTGTTGGCAATCTCTTCCATTTCATGTCTGTTTGTTATTCTTCAAGTTTCATCTATAACTGTTTTTTTGGGGTAGTCTAATTTAGTTGGATTTCATGTCAAGCTCTCAATTATTATTATTTTACCGTTTTGTGAAATAGTGCTGATTCTAATCTTCCATCTTTCTCTTTCATGTTTTGCAAATAAGTTTATTCTCTATGGTGTTGTTACTTTTAGCTGCTGTCAATGTCTTCTTGCCAAGGAGATTCGGTATTTGCTGACTCAGGTGGTTTCTGGTCTCTTTTGCCCTTCTCATGGTGGCAAATACTTTATTTCCCTTAAAGTTCTATTTTAAAAAAAAAGCATAATAATCAGATTCAATGTCTTGGACTGTATTCATTTCCCATTTTTCAAAATCAGTCGCTTCGACAGTAGGTCATTTAGGAGTTAGTATAATCACATACAATGTCTTATGCTTCCTTTTAATTTCGTATTGATTTTAACATTTGCTCAGTCACTTGGTGGCAACCCACTATTCCTTCTAGATATGTTTCTTTTTGTGTGGAATGTGCTTCTGTGCTCACTATGGCTTCTGACTCTTCTTGAAGAAAACATTAATGATAAACAAGCTGGAGTCTTCTGAGTAGTAAATGGGCCTTTGGGCCATGCTTACCCTTTTATCCTGTACTGTGTTCTCTCTCTCATGCCCACCTTCACATTGAGTAACCCAGTAGCCAAGTATATACTTAGTTTAGAGGTCTTCTCGGGGTCTTCGTGGAATTCATTGACTTCTTAATTAGCATAGAATCATAGAATTGCAGAGTTGGACAGCACCTCAAAAGCCATTGACTCTAAGCCTTACACCAGAAGCAAATCCTGTCTGTGAAATCCTCCCAAGTGGCCACTCAGCTGCCCCTTAGAAGTCTCCAGTGATGAGGTCACCACTTAGTTGTGTAAATCCTAAAGCTCTCAGGAGATGTTGTTACTAGTAGTGTTGTTAGCATTCTTCCACGAGGCAGCCAGTTACATTTTAAGGCCTTAATTATAAGGGATTTTCTCTTGGATTGAGCCAAAATCAGCCGCCCATGGGTCCCATTTCTTCTTCCAGCAAATCAAACAGGTCTGACATTTTCCCCTATGGTAATTCTTCCGCTCCTTGAAGAGAGTTACTGAATTCAACTGCCCTTCAGCTTCCAGCCCAGTTTCTTCTTCCTCAGGTTAAACATCCCCAGTTATTTCAACCAGTCTTCTCATGGCAGAGTTTCATCTTTCACCAGCCTCCTCAATAGGCCATCCTGTTCAGCGAGCCATGTGAGATTTGGTTAGGGCAGAGAACTGATGCGCTGCTACCTTGTGGCTGTGAAGACCATAGTCCTGTTCTCATGCATGTGACATTACTGACTGATGTAGTTCTCTGGTAGTTTAAAAAATATCAGTAGACAGTGTTCGTAGAATAAATGTTTTCTAGCCAAGTCTTACTTTCCCTATATTTCTACAGCTTAAGAAAACCTTAATGGCAGGACTTCTTGATTTTATTCCTATGGAGTTTCATCTCTTTAAGTCTGGTCAACCATGATAGCTTTTTGATATAGCCTTTTGGGTGCCGGCTCTGCTACCCACTATATTAGCTATACTTCCCACCGTCACTGTAAATTTGATAAATATTACCTATGCCTTTATCCAAGTCATTGGCGC